CTTGCTAGCGTGTGAAATGAGTGCAATTGTACAGCAGTTGGAGCATTCTTTGGCACTGCCCTTCTTTGGGATTGGGATGTAGACTGATCTTTTCCAATCCTCTGGCCGCTCTTGAGTTTTCCATTAATGATGATTAAAAAAAAATAACGCACTACTCCGTTGATGTTGGGTTGTGGCACCAGGGTGGGTGACATGACCTTTAGCCTAGTTTGTTCCTTTTTGCACACCACACACAGAATGATTAAAGTGGTCGGAAAAAAAACCAACTCGGAAGTCTCTAGGAAGCATGTCATTGCTAGCACCACTCTGGCAGCCATTGATGATGATTAAATTCTCTGCGAGCTAGCAAAAATTTAATGCAACTTGCTAGGCACGTTGGACACCTTACTAGTCCCTATACCACCCCATGGCTGGTGTGCAATGTGTTTCAGCAAAAGTAGTGCATATCTTTATTAAATTTGGTGAATCCTGGTAATTTGGTACACAGCCTGTGTAGATTCAATAAGATTTTGAATTCAAATAATGTATCATTTACTTCCTTTCAAATCAAGGGGGTTAATGTCGGCATATATAAATTTTTTTGGGGGGGGGTAAGAGGTAAAAAAGTTCCCTGACCCCTGTTTTAAATAGTAAAAGTTTTCTATCCTCTAATAGTACAGAAATACTTGCATTCAGATTTTACATTTATAATTACTATCACTTCATCCATACTGTAAGCTTCTTCATATAACTGCTATTCTAGTCATCAGTACATATGCTTAAAATATTAATTTCTAAACACTTATGACATCTGGCAATCTGTGATTTTTCTAGCCTTAGTTCAGCTCCAGCAAAAGCATGCACATATCTTTCCTGTAAGGTTAAAAAAACAAATCAGTAAAAATGGCTTGACTGAACTCCATCAGTAGGAAAAGAAAGCCTTCATAAAATAACTGATAAATCTTGAATGACTTTGAAGCTACCGGTATTTTCAAAAACATATCTGAAGAGATTGCAGCCTTTGTTCTTACAGTGCATGGTCGGCATCACAGATGCATATATAGAGCTCGAATACAGGTATCACCTGTTCCCGTATTTGTATTGTTTCTACAACCATGCGGCATTTTCCTTACTTTTCCTGGAGTATATAGAGCTGTCTCTTTTATTCCAAGGATACAGAATGCATGGCTCTCCAGATGCTGCTGGACTGTATCTCACATCAAATTTTGGGGTAAACTAATCTGGTCTTAGATGTTGCAGTTTAACAACACAGAGGGCCCCTCGTGTTCCCTCTACAGTGGTGCCTCTACTTAAGAACTTAATCCGTCCCAGAAGATTTTCCTAAGTCAAAACATTCATAAGTCGAATCAGCATTTCCCATAGGAACGCATTGAAAACCATTTAATCCATTCTGGCTGTTTTTTGTTTGCATGTAGAGGTGCTGTTTGTAAGTTGAAGCATTAGTTCCCATAGGAGCTAATGCAAAACCGGTTAATCCATCCTCTAACATTAGAGGGAGAACCTTTAAACCTAAAATGACTTAGGTTAAAAAAAGAGCAGGAAAGGAGGGACGGAGGGAACAATGGGGAACAATTTTACACCAACACATTTTAAACCAAACACTTTTTAAACCAAACCAAGCACCTTTAAAACAAAACACATTTTAAACCAAACCAAGCACCGGGGGAGCATAGAGAGAGAGAGAAGACAAGGCGGGGGGGAGAGACGTGAGTCTAAACTCCATTTTAGAGCAAACCAGCCAGCACAGACCCTTGCAGAAAGGGTCTGCAAGACCCATCAGAGCACAGAAACGTAACCCCCACATACATCTAGCCCAAACCCAAGCTGCAAGGGAAGCTTGCAGGAACCATTGCAAATGCACAGAAAACAAATGGAGCAGATCAGAAATGGACAAAGGGACAAGGTCTGAAATGCACAGAAATTAAAGGAAAAAGCAAGTGAAGCATGCAGGAACCATTGCAAAAACAAATGGAGCAGATCCAAAATGCACTGAGAACAAAGGGACAAGGTTGGAAATGCACAGAAATCAAAGGAAAAAGCAAGTGAAGCATGCAGGAACCATTGCAAAAACAAACAGAGCAGATCAGAAATGCAAAGAGAACAAAGCAAAAAGCATGCAAGACACATTGAAAATGGGGAACCCCCCAAAAGCAACCAAACCCCCCCAAGACCCATCGGAAATAGGGTGGGGAACCAAAAAACAAGGAACCCCCAAAAAGCAACCAAACCCCCCCGAGACCCATCGGAAATGGGGTGGGGGAACCAAAAAACAAACAAACCCCCCAAGACCCATCGGAAATAGGGTGGGGAACCAAAAAACAAACCCCCAAAGACAAATCAGAAATGGGGGAAAACACTCCAAAAAGTAACCAACCCCCCACTGGAAATTGGGGGCGGGGGAACCAAAAAACAAACAAACCCCCCAAGACCCATCACAGCACAGAAACATAACCCCCCCCCGCTGAAAACCACGCTGCAAAAATACCCAGAACAGTTTTTAAAAAGTATAAAGCAGCACCTTACCTTAGCAGGCAGCCTCCTCGGATCTCACACTCTCTAACTGCCTGGGCGAAAGAGCAACAAAGAAGCAGCCTTGTCGCCACCTACAGTTAGCTATTTCCCGCTGTTTTCCCCTGCCTTTTTGTGTTCATAAATGGAAGCTCCGTTCATATAAGTAGAAGCAAAATTTTGCGACCAGAGCAGTTCATAAGTCAAAATGTGCATGTGTAGGGGTGTTCATAAGTAGAGGCACCACTATATTTGATTCAGCCATTTGAAAGAGAAGTATAATTTTAAGTTAGGAAGGTACAAAATGGACATGCAACTCAATTGTATCTCGCATCTAAACTTTAAATGTGCCATTAACTCATTAAAACTATGCCTGATGTGGAGATAGGAGACAGGAAGAATATATTTACCCCCTCACACTTATTAGAATCCATTGTCATCCACAGAAGTTGAATGGAGAGAAATTCAGAACAGATAAAATGAAGGACTTCTTAACACAGTGCCCAGTTGAATTTTGGAATTCACATTCACAGCTTTAAATAGTTTCCACAGCTTAAAGATTAGAGGTATCAATGACTATTAGGCAGAATGGCTATGCATCACTGTGAGTACTGAGGCACTTTGCATCTATGCCAAGTATTGGGGAACATGAAACAGAGGCAGCGGTTGCACTCACGTCTGCCTGGGAAGTTTTCCATAGGAACTGGCTGGCTAATGAGACAAGACTTAGATTTGTTCTACTATGCTATGGCTCTTCTCATATTTTTATGAAGAATACACAGAGGTAACCACTTTAATAATATAAGAGATACCCTATTTGCCGGTGTACAAGGCATATATAGACGACCCCCCAACATGCGGCGCTGGCTGCTCAGGCATGGCAGGCTGTGCTTCCCTCCATCCATCCAGACCGCCTGCCTGCCTGCCTGCCCACCTGCCTTCCTCCCCAGCCAGCCCAGACCCGCGTCACTCACTCAGCGGCGGCTCCTTCCTGGCCCAAATGAAGTGCACCCAGCGTACAGACGACCCCCCCCACTTGGAGGCATGTTTTTTGGGCCCAAAAAGTCATCTTGTACGCCGGCAAATACGGTACATAAATGATCCTGCCAATAGGCAGAAAGATATATCCAACAGGTCACTATAGATTAAGCAATATAATCAAGAATAGTGTGTAAAAAAGAGACTAATTGGAAGTGAGTATCAAATTAGCTTCTGTTCTCAATCAAGCTAACTACACAATACTGTACATTAAAGTACAGGCTCCTAGCTTTGTTTTGAGGAAAGGTGCGATTCCCTCTTGATCCTAAATATAACAATGTCAATTTGATGTCTGCTGATAGCACTATTTGAATAAAGTTCAATAAATATGGGCTTTTCTTTTGAATATTCTATGAAGCAGTAAGGAGATCCAGAGCTTGTGAAGTTCTCAACCTTGATGGATTTAAGAATAAATTGAAGAACAAGCAGTATCTGATCTCTTTACTATTAAAACAAAGCAGATAAAAGAACTTCAAAATACCAATGAGAATGGTTCTCCTTCACTTTATCAGCATTGTCAGAAAAACACTTTCCTGCTCTTGGTTTACACTCCATCAGCTCTGAAGAACAAAATAGCATGCTTCTGCAACCTTTTAATATTTTAGCAAGATCAATCCCTAGTTTATCTCAAACTGAATGGGGTAACATTTCATCACTGAGGCACACTAAATAACCTTTTAACATAGATTGTTTTCAAATCTGTATTGCCTCATTTACTGTAAACAGCTGCGTACAGAACTATGTTATTAAAGGTAGAATAATCTCACATTCTTATCAGTACCATGCTATTAAATTACAATGGGAAGAAAAACCACCACAATTACACGAGAAAATCCTCATTTCTACCATCCAATATGTTTTTTGTCAGGTAATTATAAGATTATGGAGGCAAAACAACCTTTTGTATACAATCTTCAGATCTCTCCATTCCAGAAAGCTGCACATTTTCGGTTTACGGGCCAAGACTGTTTGAACAAGTTCTCTTGTGATTTTCTTCTTTTCTTTGTCAGATAATGGGACATACCACTTCTGAAGTCTCAGCTTCCCCTGACGACTAAAAAGCAACATAAACTGCATCTGTTGAGTTAAATAAAACCAGGTTTTATGTCAGTCAAACAGCCAAATTGTGCTTTATATCTGAGAAAGCTTTTTAGCATTAAGATTATTACCAACATGTTTCTCCAACTACGTTTTAAAGCAAGCAGTGGGATATACTTGTTTTAGTGATTTTACACCATAATCCCATAAGGTATCTCATGTACAGCAGGCTATTTTTTAAATGGTATCCTTCATTTCAAAATCCCAGTTATGAATAATAATGAATGTTGCAGCAGTGAGTTTATCTAAAATCAGTGATTAGAGAATTTACCAGAATTGCCAAACTTTAAACTACAGATGTGGAATATATTTACAATACATATTATACACTTGAATTCTCTTACTGATCAGAATCCTATTGGCCTACATGATTGCATAAGGTCAATACCACAAGTGATTCTAGCTCTTCATCATGGCAAATCACTGGCTACAATAAACAAACACATGTTTGTTCACAGCTTTTTCCTTTAGTTCAGACGACAAGCCAAAGGAAAAAACTGCTGTAGAACTGCTCTCACACATAGTTTTCCTGTAATAGCACTACGGCCACTTAAGTCAAAAGCTTTAAGTTGTTACCTCAACTTCATATCCCATCTCTGCTACTTTAATGGAAAACGTTCCTGGAACTCCCAGAAACAGAATTTCTCAGCTCTGTGATGCCATCATTTTGTAATAAATTCAATTCTGATATTAATGGTTTTTTCCATCTAGAGTAAGCTGCTGCAAGTATGCTGTTGTACTACAAAATCCACAATGCAGAATATAAAAGTAACTTTAAAAATGATGTGATGCCTTCCTCCTGCATCTTTCACAGCCATAGATGGGTGAAGTTACGCAGAAGCAGCTTCTTGGCAGCGTTACAATGTGACCACCTGTATTTAAAAGCATTCCCTCTTTCAGTCAACTGACTATATGAGAATCTCCTCCTTCTTTTCATGTAAGTCTGAGATTTAGGTTTCAAAAGTTCAGAATTAGTACAGAAAATGATCTGCTCTGCAACTCTAGTGTTACTACAACACAATACATTGTATGGTGCTTATCCCTAACTACGCAAGTTGTGACAAATTAACTTTGTTCCTAAAGAATTTCAAAGCACATCTCCATATGTACTTAATTCTTCCTTCATACAAAATGCAAGAGTATTTTTTAAAGTGAATACTGTACACTGTATGGCTGCATATAAAAAATCTGCTCCATGCTACCCCTACAGGGTGCATCTTAAAAATGCAATACATAAGAGGGGATTTTTGACAATGTGATAGTTATTTCCCCAACCTGAAAACTTATTTGCATTAGACACATTTCCTATTTGGATGATCTTTCTACATCATATATTTTTTGTTAATTACCTTACTGGATGAAAACAGTCCCTCTTCTCTTTTAAATCTAAATCTATGAAAGAAGTTTTCTTTTTCGTTTTTAAAGAACTTTCCACCTAGAATTAGAAGCCATAATTGAGTGGTTTCAATAATAGCAGAAGGAGAAGTCTGGTCATTTTGGTATTAAATGTAAGTGCAAAGTTTGAAAAATTAAAGAGAAATGTTGTAATCATAATTATTGGAAATCTATTTGTGTTTCTTTTTAAATAACAATTTAAATCACAATATGGGGGAATATAAAACTTTCTTTCAGATAATCTTGGCAAGAAAAAAGTTATTTTTTAACTACAATTCCAAAATAACATAAAACAAAAGTCGCTTTCACTTAGTCACAGCACTTAGCTCTTTTAAAAGAGGAAGTTTACCTATCAAAACTGTTAGTGAATTAGAGCACAAGGAGGCATTACAATTGATATTCAATCACATATAAAACCATTCCAAAGAGGATTATAAAGATCAGTTTTAGAAGAGGCATCCATCTTAGTCTGTGCTAGCATATCGGGGAAAAACAAATTAAAACTAAAAAATACAGAAGACAAAAACACTGTGGCACCATAAAGACTAACTGCAATATTTTAGTGCGCGTTTTTGTGGACATTTCCACTTCCTCAGTCTGACTTGTCCACAGAATCTCACATTAATATATAGCATTAATTTTTAAGGTCCACACTTTTGTCTTCTTTATTTATTTTACCTGATATAAAGATCAGCTAGAGGAAAATGTTTATTAATCTTTTGTCTAAATATGAGAAAAATTTATGGAGTATAAACTCAGAGAACAAACCATCACTATGTCTTTTTTTAAATGGCTTTTAATCTGTTTTTAAAGAATGGATAGAATAATAATGGTGATATAATTGTATGTATGTTAATCTACAAAATTCAGCATGGCAAACTTCTGCTAACTAACATGGTGACAGTAACACTATGGGTCACTTGCTTGATTGTGCAAACAGATGAGCAACTAGTAATGCAATCAGCACAAGTCCTGGTGGGCTAGGAATAATAAAACTCAGACCTCTTATCTTCAAACAGGCAAAGACACGTCATAACTTGCTTCATCACATGGAAGGCTCGTGACAGCTACAACAGTAAATTAACATCTTTTCCCTCTCTTGAAACACAATTAGAGAAGCACTCTTTAGTCTGGACCAAAGCTATCTATATCGATATGTAATCGCGTATTTCTCAAGTTAAAAATACAGACAAGTATCCTCTCAGTTTAAAGGTTGGCAGAGGCATTCATTACTAGTGACCCACTTAGTGTAGGGGGGAGAAATGAAGAGCTGTTCCAGAAATCTTTCCAATTCAGAACAAAGTCAATTCGTTTTATTTCAGAGCTTCCAGACTGCCAGGTAGGACCTCATTCAGTCAGGGAGCTGTCCTCCAACAGTAGGGGATGGGTAAAAGGGGTTCTGCAGGAATATAGAACAAAAGGCTTATTTATATTCCCTTTTCTATCATTTAATCTTCTTAGCAAAAAGTTGCAGAACCATCCTCTTTTTCAGAAGCCTAACGTCTATCTTCACTGTTATTTTTAAAAACCAAACCATTTATATTCTAGAAAGAACTTCAGCTCTACCTTCAACTGGGGTTTTCTCGGCATACATATGGAAAATCACATCATTTAACACCACATTCAGAACTACCATCAGCCTGACAAATCTATGATCACTTTTGTTTCATATATACTGTAACTGACGGCACTTCGTGGAAGGGAAAAGACGGTGCCTCCTCTCAAAAAAAAACTGGAGCAAGGAGAGTGCTCCCCGCATATAACCAAGCGATCAGAAGGAAAGGGAATTTATACAGAACCACTTTTGTTTATCCTGGACCCCCCAAAAAGCAAGAGCAATTTAAACGTGCTTATAAATGATAGCTGATGTCCATGTAATACATAACAGCCACCGGGTATTCTCCGCCCCAGCCCCTTAAGTCACCTAATGATCTCCCCGCCCTGAGCATCCCACTCCAGAAGAATCGCACTCTCAGGTCCGGCTCCGGCTCCACCCATTTTGAAAGAAAAAGAAACACGAAAAACCCAAAATGTGACACTACAAACTCAAGGGATGGGGTCCGGGGGAAAGACAGTCTCAGGAAAAGAAGGGAGGCGCCGCCAGAGCAGTCTCAGGAAAAGAAGGGAGGCGCCGCCGGAGCACCTGTTCTTTCTTTCTCTCTCTCTCCGCCTGGGCACCCTCGACCGCTTCCTTTAATGCCCGCCCGGGAACACAAGGCAGTTCTTTCTTTCTTTCTTTCTCTCTCTCTCCGCCTGGACACCCTCGACCGCTTCCTTTAATGCCCCCCCCCGGGAACACAAGGCAAACCCTTCTCGCCGCGTAAGAGGTCATGTGCGTGCCCGGAGTGGCCAAACAGCCGCCAACCGGGCCTGACTCTCCACTGTTGGGGTGAATTTTACTCAGCGTTCAACCCAGACTGTCCCCGAAGCCTGAGGAAAACAGCCGCCGAGCGCGGAGAGAGCTGCTGTGTCACACGCGCTTCTCTCTTCCCCTCCGTCTCCCCTTGCTGGTCCTTCTCGCTTCCGCCACCACCCGCTTTCCTCCCTCCCTCCCTCCCAACAAAAATAAAACCCATCCGCTTGCCAGAGGTTCGACCCGGCGGCGCCAAACTCGCCGCATCCCTTACCGTTAGCCGGGAAGGCGGGCAGAGGAGGAATCTCCTCGAGGCTCTCGCACGCGCGCGCGCTCGCTCTCTCAGTCTCTTCCCTCCACTACTCTGAGGGACAACCGCCTCCCACTCAAGCCGCTGGGGAGAAAGGCGGGGCCGCTCGCGGCAAGCAGCTCGAGCGAACTGTGGCGGGGAGGCGGGGCCAAGAGAAGCGGAGGGAGGGAGAGAGAGAGAGAGAGAGGACAGTAGCCCCAGTTCTCTTCAACCGCCAAACTTCATTCGCTCCTCCTCACAGACCCGAATGGGAGGGGGGAGAAAGGATTTCGCGAGCAGCCAATCTGTGAGCCGAAGACCTGCGCGAGGGGCTTGGAGGGGTAGTAACCGGAGGTGGCAACTACAATTGGGCCTCAGCGCCTTGCCTGGAGGGACGCGGGCCAATCAGAAGGTCGAGTACACTGTAACGTTTCCTGCTTAGCCAACCAGGAGCGCCGGGCGAAACCGGTCCGCCAATCCGGCCAACCACTGGACGCCCTTTTCATGGGCCATCCAGGCACGAACCGGTATATGACACCTCGACAGAATGATACGAGGGGGCGCATGCGCAAGGAAGTGACTGACGGTCACGTTCTCGCTTGTCATTGCTTCTATTATTCCCGCGCGCACCGGCTCCCCCGCCCCTTTCTTGCCTATGTTATTTCGGAGCTGGTCAGTAAGGGCTGTCATAAGCTTCTTGCGAAATTAGTGACAACTAGAAATCTAATCCATCGTCAAGGAGCCGGCATGGGCTGTGTAATCAAATCAAATATACATTAATACGGACGTTATTTTTCCATTCTGCGTGTTTCCCCAAATTATGTCGCTCTTATCCAGAACGAGGAAGACAAACTGTGAGAGGAACACGAGGACAGGGAAGAGATTGCCACAAAGGCTACTTGCAGTCTTCATTGCACCTCCTTAGGAGCCCCGTAATACTAACTACAGTATAGAAGTTGCTGGCGATATCTGTGCATCATCTGCCTCAGAAGGCTTGCATTGCACGTCCCATCTCCTGCCATGGTGTTCTGTGATATGCATGAACTTCCAGCTTTGAAAGGATGATAGTCAGCTTCCATCAGAGCGGAGTTGCTGGTGCAGAATGGCTTGTCTTTTCCACCAAGAAATGGAACAGACCGGGTGAAGAATACATTCTAGCAGTTCGGCAGCAGTTCACATGGTATCAAGGCAGCTGATTCCCTTGTCCTCAAACCAGGAAAAGATGCTTTGAAATCAGCCTTTTCCTTGTGCCTGTACCAAAGTTGGCCTTTTCTGCATAGGCATGGTCTCTTCCCATGTTGTCCAGTTCCCAAAAGCTGCTCTAGCTGCTCTTGGAAGTGTACAGTACATCAGGGCTGGCCAAAAAAAAAAAGATGCCTGAGGTACAGTGCAAAGGGCCATAGAGAAGCCACTTAAATAGGAAGTTGAATCTTTAAAGGAGGGGACTGTGACCCCTTCTCTCCCATTACACACCTGAGGGCAGCAGACTAAGTATATTTTAAGATGCCTACGTTGTGTTGAATAAGACATACACTGCTTTCCTTCGTGAAGAGAGGGAAATGGCTCAAGGTGCAGGAGGAGGAAGAATAGCAGAGATCCCACTACCTAATGATAGGACTTACCGTGCTCTGAATCCAGACTATAGCATCCTTCCCCAAATAGCCACCCTCTAGATCCGTGTTGTCTTCTCATGAGGTGCTCAAATCCTTCTGGTCTGCCTCTCTGGGATGGAATTTGGAGGCACAGTTTTACATCAGCCCTTCCTGGAGGAGAGAACTCAGAAGGTGATGCAGAGGGATTCCTATTTAACACCCTGGCCACTGGCTTTTGGGCTCCCTCAGGGTTGTTTTGTCTCTCATGTTAACTGGGAGAGGTTGTCCTGAGTTTTGGGTTTTGATGTTGCCAGTATGCATACGATATCTAACTCTGTCTGTCCTTGCCATTTAAATCTAAAGGAAGCTGATTTGGCTCTAGATCAGTGTGTGGCATCGGTAATGGATTGGATGAGGGTGAATAAACTGAAAGTTAACCCAGATAAGACAGAAGTGCTCCTGGGAGTGGAAAGGCAGATCAAGGAATAAAAAGTCAGCCTGTGCCGAATGAAGTCACACTCTGCCTAAAAACACAGGTGCACAGCTTGGGAGTGCTCCTGGATTCATCTCTGAGCCTGAATACCCAGGTTTCAGCATTGGCCGGGAGTGCCTTTGCACAATTAAAACTAGTATGCCAGCTGCACCCATTCCTGGAGAGGTCGGAGCTGGCCAAGGTGACACACGTCTTAGTTACATCCTAGCTGGATGACTGGAACATACTCTACATGGGGCTGCTATGGAAAGTGTGAGGAAACTTACTTGGGTCCAAAAGATGTTAACGGGCTGGTGACAGGGATCACCTAACCTTCCTGTTACAGCATGTCCACTGGCTGCTGATCCATTTCTGGGCACAATTTAAAGTGCTGGTTCTAATCTATAAAGCCCTAAACAGTTTGGGCCCGACCTGTCTTAAGGACTGTGTCTCCCTTCCTAAGCCTTCTTGGGTGTTAAGATCATCAGGAGAAGCTTTTCTCTTGGCCCACCACCTTCACAGGTGCATTCGGTGGGGACACGGGAGAGGGCTTTCTTTATTGCTGCTCCTAGACTTTGGAACTCCCCCCACTGGAGGCCAGACTGGCCCCATCTTTGCTGTCCTTCTGCAAGCAGGTGAAGACATTTCCCTTCAGATAAGCTGTCCTTGAGTGACTGGCTACCTTAGTGGGTGTTTTAAATGGGTGGTTGTACTTTACTGCTTTGAATGTGTTTTGTTGTTGCTTTTATTTAACTTTTTTAGTGTAGTATTTGTTTGATCCTTTTTAGTATTTGTATACTTACTGTTTGTAGCTTTAAATATTGTCTTTTCTTGATGTAAGCCACCTTGGGTCCTTGCTGTCATGTTGCTTGGTGTATTATAATACAACGTGAGCTCTGGAGTTATGCTAAGTTATAGAACTAAATATAATAAATCATTTGGAAGAGAGAACCACATAGTAAAAAGAATCAGAGCCCCATCTGAGTAAGTGAAGGAGGCTCGCCTATGAATGACAGGAAGGAACTTCCCAGTTTGATTCTCATCAGTATGAAATGAATTGGCGCCAGTGCCATAATTTGAAAATTAGAATCAATACATCTTTTGAAATTATTTATCTGATCCTCAAGAGTATCTTGAGCATTTAAGCATAATAGCCATTTCATATAAACTGTAACATTCCAATTTTCTACAAGTTTTCTAATCTCGTCACTCATCTTTCATTCCTTATACTTATAGTCTTTTATTACAAGATAATTTTGAAGATAATAACCAGAATTCTTGTGCTTATCAGATTTTTGTTTAATCTTGTATACTAATGCATGCAGTCCTCCCCAGTATGTAAGTGACATGTATTCATGTATTAAATAAGAATTTCAATAATTGATCCTTAATAGCATTTTTGTTTATCAGTGGCATCTTGAAAATTGGCTGGAAACACTTTAAGTAGGAATACAAAACTTTTTTTGTCATTTAAAAAAAAGGAAGGTGCTGTAGGCTAATATGTGAAATCTGCTGTTGGTTTTTCAGGGACAAAAACAAAAATGAAGAACACTTCCCCCCAACACGTTTAGTGGTGGACATGACCTTGGTCTTTAGGCTATGCCTGGGGGCAAGCCTATGCTTCTGCCAGGGACTGGGTTTTGGTATTCTCAAGGCCATTATTGTCTTCTCAGTGCTACTTTAGGACTTACATTTTTGAAAGACAGTGGTTGGCATTTGCACCATATCTTGCTGGTAATAAGCACATGGTTAATGAACATTCATTCAGACACAGACTAAGCCAGCGGTGGTCAGAACTGATTGCATAAGAAGATAATGAAAATTAACTACCTGTCCTCATAAACCGCAAAGGACCAGCCAGCTTGAATCACAAGGGTCACAGCTTTTGTTCCTCTTTCTTCAAATAAGGTCTCTTTTAATTTATCATGGCATATTTTCTTGTACAGATATGTTCTGCATAATTCGGGGCTATTTGTCACTATTTAACATAATTTTACTTAGCTCTTTATCCAAAAGAGGTCCCTGGAGTGATTTTCAAAAGCAGCATGAGCTGGTTTAAACTTCTAAACAAATTTTGATATTCGCTGCCGCTGCTCCTGATGATATTAATGGAAGAAAGCAGTAGAATCCACATCACTGTCTGATATATACCACACTGATCTACTTTCATGTATGATTCTTTATCTCTTTAAAATACAAATTTGGGTCTGGATCAAAGTTTGTATTATTCCCACTTCTGGCTGCTGCTTCTTCCTTATCAAAAAATGTCCTTTCAGTCAGATAAAAGTATTTCTCTATACTGTACTTGTACACTCTTCGGCCACACACTTTTTGGGGCTAGCTAAGAGATTTTCCTTACTTAAATATAACAGCAGGTGGTACAAAAGCCAAGCAGACTGCTAATTCTATCTTGCATCAATACCTGCTTCAGTACAGCATTCCTCCCTTAAATTTGGGGAAGCAGCTTAGTTTAAGATTACAGGGCAGACCGTATGGCATACACAGAAATCTCTGCCACTCATCCTTCAGTATCTGCTGCCCAAGGCAACTGTCTCGCTGCTTAATGGTCCTGCCTAAACTCGAGAGACCAAGGGTAAAATCACACATTCAGTGGGATGCATATATTGTATGCCTACTGTCATACCTACCTTTCAAAACTTAATGCCTGAGCAATCAGACTTGCAAATACTAATCTTATTATGGTTAATTGGAAAACAAGAGCAGGTTAATTTATCAAAAGTGGACCAAGGCAAACTCATGTTAGAAAAAAATGTTGTAGTTGTTATGTGCTGTCAAGTCATCTCTAACTTATGATGACCTCATGAATGAACCATATCTGTGCTGTCAAGTCATCTCTAACTTATGATAACCTCATGAATGAACAATATCCAAAATGTTCTGTCCTCAACAGCCCTGATCAGCTCTTGCAAACTCAGGCCTTTGGCTTCCTTTAGTGAGTCAATTCATCTCGTATTTGATTTTCCTCTCTTTCTGCCTCCTTAAACCTTTCCCAGCATGATTGTCTTTTCCAGGGAAACTTTCTGTCTCATGACATGCCCAAATAAGATAGCCTCGGCTTCTACATTTTTGCCTCCAGAAATAGTTCAGGCATGATTTGA